TAATTTGATTATGACTCACTGTACATATCTATCAATAATAAACGTACTTACTTTATTATTTCTATTATTTTTTCCGTTAGTAATAAAAAAATTTGTTTTAATTTTATTAAAAGTAGGTTTAATTCCTTAAGATTTTTCACATAAAATTACTTAAAAGAACGAAAGACTGAATATACGATTTTAATATTAAGTGGGTCATATATTAAAAAGGTCACAACATATTGATAAGTTTTGACTATTTACTTTTTTTCAAGTTAATTTTAATATTTTTTTTATAAAAATATATTTATTCTTTAACAAACCCCGTATAAAACTAAGTTTAAAACTTAATGCAAATAAATAAAATTTGAAAAAAAATCAAGCTTTTTAATTCGATTTCTTATAAGAATTTTGAGTACGCAGTTTTGTATCTCATTCGATTCTAGTACAATAAGGTAGAAGTTTAAAGTAACTACGACATACCGTTAATTTTTAGCATTTTCTTTATGGGTGTTGCGCATTTTCTTGCATAATCACCCTCATTGCGAGAGTGGTGTCGTATGCAAGTCGTTTTTAGAGAGTCGAATCGTATCGAAAATTTCACGTCATTGCCTAAAATTTCCACTCGACTAGTGTATTAAAACGGAAAAACTTGGCAGCACTGTATAGTTTTCGCATTGGCATAGCAAATTTGGTGTTTTGAATCGCAAATAAGTAATAAGTTGATGGAATGACCACCTATAGATGTACACAATTGACTGAGTTTAACTTTTCAAATTGAAAGTAAAAAAACTTACCTTTTCTACAGTAGTATAAACTTTCTAGATCTCCTTTAACGTATACGTATAAACGTATTTCGTAAAAGCATCAATTTTCCAGTAATGTTGTTGTTGTTGTTGTTGTTGTAGCGGCTACAGCAACCCCGCCCAGGACGGTTGGTATCTCAGTCGTTGTCGTCAAGTTCCACTAACGGCAACCCTAGGAAGCGTGCAGCTTCTGTGGGGTTTGTCCACAGGGACAAGGCCGTTAGGGTTGTCGGGTTTTCCGGGCATGCGAAGAGATGTTTCGAGTCATGGGGGGCCTCTCCGCATGCCGGACACTCATTCGGCACATCCTCATTCAACCTACTCAGGTAGGAGTTTAACCTGCTGCAGTAGCCGGAGCGAAGTTGTGCAAGTGTTGTGCGAGTCTCCCGAGGCAGATGAAGCTCCGTCTCGTCTATGTCCGGGGGTGGTATGCCTAGAACGGCATTCACAGGTCTAGAGTCTATATAAATCGAGACTGAGTCCCTGTGAATGCCGTTCAGGGCCTGTCGGTAAGATGTCGGGTCCAGAGGTTGCTTGATGAACCTCTGGACTTCGTCTGTCAGTTCATATAGATGCCTCCTGACGTGCCTAGGCGAGGGCTCCTCTGCAAGCAGCTGTCTGCTTGGGTGGCCACTTCTATGGCTCCCGATCAGGAACTGCTTGCAGAGCATTATATCGTGCTCCTTTACAGGGAGCATATGCGCCTCGCCGTGCAGGTGGTGTTCAGGTGACATCAGGAGGCATCCTGTCCTGAGTGCGGTGTTCTGTACAGTCTGTAGCTTCGTCCACTGCGTCCTACTAGTCCCTGGCGGCCACACTGGCGCTGCGTAGTTCAAAACCGGCCGGCCTATTGCCTTGTATGTTGCCAGCAACGTTTCTTTGTCTTTGCCCCAAGTACTGCCGGCTAGCGACTTGAGGACCTTGTTGCGGCTCTGTACTTTATTGACAGTAGCGGTTGCGTGCGCAGAGAAGGAGAGCAGGCTGTCGAATGTTACTCCGAGTATTGTGGGGTTATTCACCGTCGGAATTGGTGTGTCATCGACGTGAATTCCCAGCGGTAGCCTGACCTCCTTCGTCCAGGTTGTGAACAGGGTCGCAGAGGATTTCGTAGGGGAGAGGGCTAGACACTTTGCATTGAAGAAGCGAGAAAGTTCGGAGAGATACCCGTTTACTTTCGAACACAGGTCATCAATTCTATTCCCAGTCGCCATGATCGAGCAATCGTCGGCATAAGAGACAATCGAGACTCCCTCTGGTGGTTGAGGGAGCTTTGAAATGTAAAAGTTAAACAGTAGCGGGGAGAGGACACCACCCTGTGGACCCCCCTGTTTTATTTTCCTCTGTTTACTCGTTTTGTCTCTAAACATTACCGACGAGTGTCGACCACTCAGATAATTTGCCGACCACCGTTTGAGCCTCTGTGGGAGAGAGGAGGCCTCTATATCTTCTAGTAGCGTGGAATGGCAGACGGTGTCAAACGCCTTTGACAAGTCCAACGCTACTAGAATCGTTCTCTCACAGGGACGGTTTCGGTTAAGGCCACGAGTTATCTGAGTGTTTATGGCGTTAAGTGCTATTGTTGTACTGTGCACTTTACGGAAACCATGCTGATGCTTCGCTGGGGTCAAGTGGTTTGTGAAGTACGGGAGTAGCAAGGCCTCGAGTGTCTTCGCTACCAGGGAAAGGAGTGTTATCGGACGATAAGAATCTCCTTTGTTGGCAGGTTTCCCCGGTTTGAGCAGAGGGAACACTCTCCCCACCTTCCAGATGTCTGGGATGATGAGAGTGGCCATTGACAAGTTGAGGACCTCCGTTAGGTACGCTACCCCCGCAGGACCCAAATTTTTCAGCATCAGCATGCATTTTCCGTCGGGACCCAAGGCTTTGGAGGCTTTCGCCTTCCCGATGGCCACCTGAACTTCACCGCAAGTGAAAGCAAGGGGGG